CCATACGATTTCAGAGTTCCGAGGAATTTATATGTTTTCATTGTAACTCGCTCAAGCTCTTTCCGCAGGGCTTCTTGTGGCGTCCAGTGTCTCTTGTCATTGTTTTCTCTTCGTTGTAAGTATCTAGAGCGTCATGGATCCCTCTCGACTCCCTGCTGTCTTCTGGTGCATAATAATTCTCTCTCTGTTAGGCCCGTCAACCAGTTCAGTCTGTACAGTACTTGTTAAATTAATATATCAGATTTCACGTGGTTGAATTTAGTTCCATATGACAGAGAGATATTTTCTGGGATTCTCTTAGGTTCCCTGTGGCTCCTTGTGGGGTCTAGTAGTACCCGTGGCCTCCTTGTGGGGTCTGGTAGTACCCGTGGCCTCCTTGTGGGGTCTGGTAGTACCGGTGGCCTCCTTGTGGGGTCTGGTAGTACCCGTGGCCTCCTTGTGGTTTTATAGGGTTTCCAGCGGCTTCCTAGGGTTCCAAGGTGTCTCTAGCGGCTCCCTTGGGTTTCTTGAAGTTTTGTGGTGCCTCAGTGGGTTCCTCCGGGGTTCCATGTGGTTCCCTGGTGTCTCCTGTAGCTGGGTGGGGTTCCTAGAGGTTCCCCGGTGCGTTACGAGGCGAGCCCGTCAAGTGGCACCATAATAGACCCTTCAAACGGCCCCAACAACACACCTCCGGTAGACCGTAAACCCATCCTGGCCGCCCCGAGACAATACCAGATAGCTTTTAACGACCTAATTTCGCTGTACGTCTTTATTCCGTCAACATCTTTATGATGGTCAATATGAGATCCTTCACAGTGAATTATACGCCGCCCGGTATACCGATGGCGACTTGTGGATGTATTCACCTAACAACGTTTTCGCGGAAAGATGTCTCCGCTCGGTGGTGTCGAGACAAAGGCGGGTTCGTCATTTGACCGTAAAGAGCTTCTTAAGATCTTTAATAATGCCAATGGCGAGATGACATCCCTTCGAAGCGGCGGAGCACCATCGGGCAAAAGACCTGACATGACCTGACCTAACCTAACCAGTGGGCGACTACACAAGACCACATATAGTGGGGGTAAATTTTGCCATGGAGAGGCCGGTGGGTGGGGTGAATCTGGCCATGAGAAATGTCCCATGACAGCCCTATTACACCCTATCAGCAGAGTGAGGGAGGGTGACGGGGGCCTCAGTGGTCCTGCCTCACACACCACCATCGTGGTTGTTGTTCCTATCGGCAGTCAAGTCGTCTCATTTGGTTATCGCGGGGGGAGGTGAGTCAGCCGCCGGACCCTGACCAAGGTGGCGGCTCGCGCGTCAACTGCGGGCTTAGGGCTGTCGTCAGTCAGGGCCGCAAGGTCAGCGGCTGACGGCAGGCGGCTGGCCCAGATGATTGATGTTGCCCAGTCCAGGCCAAATGTGTTCCCCTCCTTCACACTGAACCTCGATAAAGCTCAAGCACTTTCTATCAACATGAACCCACAGTCAACCATACTCCTCGCCGTGGAGGGGTACTCAGTCAGGCTAGGCTGCACACCACATCAGAAGACAATGACGACGACAACCACGACGAACGAGAGGTGGAGGCGAGGGCTGTGGCAGGGAGGTGGGAGGCTCCCGCTTCTCGCTCATACATGGCCAACACACTGCGCTACACCGCCACCCATTTACCCAACACCGGCCCGCTGTCATTATCGTGTCTTCAAGATAAAACTTGATGGGGCAATTTAGCGCATTCTGTTAACATATTGTTAGTTAACTATATATAGTTTAGTCCTGAATGAAAGAGTTGGATGCTATCGCTGGCCGCCAGACAAGGCCGTTAGGTGTTCTTCCTAAAGACAGGTAAGGTGTGGCGGCGACAAGTAAGGTACTACAGCCACAGGTAAGGTGCCACAGGTAACTAAGGTGCCGCAGCCACAGGTAAGGTACCACAGCCACAGGTAAGGTACCACAGCCACAGGTAACTAAGGTGCCGCAGCCACAGGTAGGGTACCACAGCCACAGGTAAAAAGGTACAAGGCGAATGTGTCCGTGTGTACGTATTAACAAGCTCATTTTGCCAAGGACAAAGCCACTAGGTGGTGACCACCAGCCACCCAACACTGTCGCCTACAGCAGCGTCCCCACCCAGGACCACCACAACCACCACCACCACACACATCCACAGCACCACACACACACACGCAGTCCAGGTTGTGCATTCTACCAAGCTCCTCGGCGTCACTATACTGTAGATAACAAACTAAATTGGAAAGCACACGTCAGTACAGCTGTCAAATCCTCCAGTTTTCGTGTCCACCTCCTCCGCCGACTCCAGTCCCTCGGAGTTTCCGAGCCCGAGCTCCTCAGTGCTTACTCAATATTCATTCTTCCCAAGCTCACCTATGCCTCCCCTGCCTGGTCTTTTCACTAATGCCACACAACGTAAACGCCTAGAAAAAGTACAGATAGGGAATGCAGTATTATTTTCTCCCCCTCCTGCTCCACATATCAAGAAGCGCTCAACACACTGACCCTCTCGGCTCTCACTGACCATCACCACGACCCAATCTGCAAATTTGGTGAGAAGCTTCTGCACAATCCTCGACACCGGCTCCTGCTTCCACCCGAGATCCCTCGTCCGCGAATTGCTGTTCGACACCACAACCACACCCAGCCCATACGAGCACGTACTGATCTCTGTAAGAACAGCCCAGTCCCAACCATTGTAAAATTATCAACAACTTGTAGTCAACCAGTGTGTATTCACTCCCAGTCAATTTTACCTTTTTGCACTGCTTCTATGTTGAAATGCCCTGTAGTATGACCTTCTCCCCACCTTGTTATTATATATCAGATTTTTATCACTTATGTTACTCGTATATTATCTGTCAATCAAGTGACCCTTTCCAAATTATGTAGCAGTATATTTTCAGCCTTCTGGCTGCCATGTTCTCTCAACAAACCGCTAATTATTATTATTATAATTATTATTTATTATTATTATCTCACACACACACACACACACACAGACGCGCACACACACACACACACACACACACACACACACACACACACACACACACACACACACACACACACACACACACACACACACACACACACACACACACACACACATAAAATAAAACACACGCGTGGCCAAAAACATACAAGACAGGGCGAGATAATAGATGAAGTGGTATTGTGTGTGTGTGTGTGTGTGTGTGTGTGTGTGTACCGATACATCATGGTTGGTGGCGCCAGCGACACACAACAAGGCTATTATTGCTGATAACCCAACGTCTCTCTCTCTCTCTCTCTCTCTCTCTCTCTCTCTCTCTCTCTCTCCTCACAAGGGAAGAGATCTGCCCAGCACAGGTTCATCTGCCTGAGGTTTTGGTTTCGCTAATAACGTCAAGGTGCCAGGCGTGTGGTGTGAGGGTGAGGTGTGTGCCCAGGCGTGTGGTGTGGGGTGCCAGGTGTGTGGTGTGGGGTGCCAGGCGTGTGGTGTGAGGTGTGTGTGTGTGAGGGGGTGCCAGGCAGGTGTGTGGGTGGGGTGAGGTGTGGTGTGCCAGGCGTGTGTGGGGTGCCAGGCGTGTGGTGTGAGGTGTGGTGTGAGGTGTGTGGTGTGGGGTGCCAGGTGTGTGGTGTGGGGTGGCAGGCGTGTGGTGTGGGTGTGTGCGTGTGGTGTGAGGGTGGCAGGGTGTGGTGTGGGGGCGTGTGGTGTGAGGGGTGCAGGCGTGTGGTGTGGGGTGGCAGGCGTGTGGTGTGAGGTGGCAGGCGTGTGTGTGTGTGGGTGTGTAGTGTGAGGATGGCAGGCGTGTGGTGTGGGTGGCAGGCGTGTGGTGTGGGGTGCCAGGCGTGTGGTGTGGGGTGGCCGTGGTGTGTGTGGTGTGGTGTGAGGGGCAGGCGTGTGGTGTGGTGGGGCGTGTGTGTGTGGGGTGGGGCGTGTGGTGTGGGGTGTGGCGTGTGGTGTGTGGTGTGAGTGTGCCAGGCGTGTGGTGTGAGGGTGGCAGGCGTGTGGTGTGGTGGGGCTTGTGGTGTGATGGTGCCAGGCGTGTGGTGTGGTGGTGGGGTGTGGTGTGGGGTGCCAGGCGTGTGGTGTGGGGTGCAGGCGTGTGGTGTGAGGTGGCAGGCGTGTGGTGTGGGGTGCCAGGCGTGTGGTGTGTGTGCAGGCGTGTGGTGTGTGGCAGGTGTGTGGCGTGTGGTGTGGGTGGCAGGCGTGTGGTGTGATGGTGGCAGGCGTGTGGTGGGGCGAGTAGGGTGTGTACACACTGCCTGCTGCCATTTATCAGCACTACCTCTTAACCACACCTCCAACTGTGCCCCCTACCTAGGTAGCCCCTGACCCTGCCCCCACTTGTTGTAACCTCTCCCCTGCCTACCCCCCTGACCTACTTATTGTAACCCTCCCCTGCCCTACGTACCCTGACCCATATCCCCTGTGCCCTGAAACTGCCCCTTCTTTACCTTGGAGGTGGGAGGCTGCGCGGGGCATAAATCAGAGTCCGGCGGTGGATAAATCATGGTTATCAGGCGGCGTCGGCGCTGTCCATCCCCGAGTGGCTAATAGGGTTGAGAAGAGAGAGAGAGAGAGAGAGAGAGTATAACTCGTCACATAGCTTGTTTCTGGCACTGGTAGATTGAGTTGGAAAGAAGTTGGAAGAAAGAGGGGTAGAGTACAAAGGGGTTAGTTGTTGTGTGACCCCACACTGACCTCTCATGACCCAAGACAACACGGAACCTACCTATCCCCAGGTTTCCTCGTGACCCAAGGCATCAACTTGAATGTGTGTCAAACTTTCGCAAGCGTCAAAATTTCACGTCTAATCGGTTCTGTGTTAAAAAAAATAGCATAAAACAAGGAAGACTTACCCTGAAACCTCAATAACCGCCCCCTTCAACAACCTCAGCCCCCTAACAACCTCCAGCCCCCAAACAACCTCCAGCCCCCAACAACCTCCAGTCCCCCCATAAAACGAAACTATTTGATGAATAAAATCGGGAAAACTCAGCTCCACGTGGTTCGGAAGATGTCGTACGTTGACGGACACGCGACGTACGACAGCTGGAGACCCTCACACAACCTGGCCTTGATCTACCAGTCACGTACGTTAGCTTGGGAGTCGACAATAAGTATTTATGTTCAGTCGTAGAGAAGAACACTAACCAGCAGATAAATGACTTACATGCACTTACAGCACCCAGGACCACTTTAACAGCATCCAGGACCACTTTAACAGCACCCAGGACTACTTTAACAGCACCCAGGACCACTTTAACAGTAGCCAAGACCACTTATTAACACCCTGGGGCATTTAACAGCACCCAGGACCACTTTAACAGTATCCAGGACCACTTTAACAGCACCCAGGACTGCTTTAACAGCACCCCGGACCACTTATTAACACTCTGGGTCACGTTACAGCACCCAGGACCCCTTATCAGCACCTAGGACCACTTTAACAGCACCCAGAGGCACTTTAACTGTACCTAGGACCACTTAATAACACTCTGTGGACACTTTAACAGCACCCAGGACCACTTATTATCACCTAGGACCACCTTAACAGCACCTAGGAACTCTTTAACAGCACCTATGATCACTTTAACAGCACCTAGGACCTCTTTAACAGCACCCATGAGCACTGTGTACGACCAGAAAGAGCCATATATGTGCTGCATGACTCCCGGTACCCCACACGCCCTCAGCCTCACACCTCCCTCCCTCACTACCTCTTTCTCTCCCTTCTTCACTCTCTATTTCCCTCCTTCTCAACCTTTTTATCTCCCTTCCTCTCTCTCGCGAACTCTCTACTTCTCTCTATCTCCCTCTCTCTCTCTCCTTCACTCACTCTTTACCTCCCTCTCTCCCTTCTTCTCAACCCTCCCCTCTCTCCCTTCTTCTCACTCCTCTCCTCTCTCCCTTCTTCTCACCCCTCTCCTCTCTCCCTTCTTCTCACCCTTCATCTCTTTCACCCCACCTCATTCCTATTCTACATCCCTTCTTTATCTCACTCTCCTGGTCCATATCCCACCCTTTCCTCTCTGCCTTTTCCCCCCTCCTCCTTCTTCTCTTTCCCCCCTCCTCCTCCTTCTCTTCCCCCTCCTCCTCTTCTCCCTCCCCTCCATCACTTGCCAACCCGACTTGATATTTATTGTATGTTAATGTTATTGATGACCCACAAAATGATCCACGTGACGACGCCTGCTGTATGGGAAGGAGGTTGTTTACACGGTGGGGGAGAAGGAGGGGGTGATGGAGGTGGGGGTGAAGGAGGGGGTGAAGGAGGTGAGGGAGGGAGGGGCTGAAGGAGGTGGGCGAGGTGAGGGAGGGAAGTGTTGAAGGAGGTGGGGGGTTGAGGAGGTGAATGAGGAGGAGTTAGGGATGTGGTGTGTGTGTGTGTGTGAATGAGATGCAGGTGTGGTGGGGAGGTGAGGATGTGGAGGGGAGATGGAGATGTGGTGGGAATGTGTAGGGGGGGTAAGGTGGGTGAGGAAGGTCGGGATGTGTTGAGATGGTGAGAGACATGGGGAGGGCGTAGGGGTGTGTAGGGGAGGTGAGGAGGTGGGTGAGGGAGGAGGTAGGAATATATGAGACAGGTGAGGCCATGCAGGTAACACAAGTGGAGGTAAATTAAGACAGGTGGGGCCAGGTAGGAACACACTAGAGAGCTGAACCTGTAGCTCAGACGGGGTCACCTGCTCTAACCTCTACTTGACCAGGTAGAGCCAGCTATCTTGTCAGCAGGTGTGGGTCTAGGGAAGGTGTGGATCTAGGGCAGGTGTGGGTCTAGGGGCAGGTGTGGGTCTAGGGAAGGTGTGGATCTAGAGTAGGCGTGGGTCCAGGGCAGGTGTGGGGTCTCAGGGCAGTTGTGGCTCTAGGGAAGGTGTGGGTGTAGGGAAGGTGTGGGTTTAGGGCAGGTGGTCTGTGTAAGGTGTGGGTCTAGGGCAGGTGTGGGTCTAGGGCAGGTGTGGGTCTAGGGCAAGTGTGGGTCTAGGGAAGGTGTGGGTCTAGGCAGGTGTGGGTCAAGGGCAGGGTGGGCGTGGCCTGGAGTAGGTGTGGCTCCAGGACAGGTGTGGGTCTAGGTAAGGTGTGGGTGTAGGGAAGGTGTGAGCCTAGGGCAGGTGTGGGTCTAGGGCAGGTGTGGGTCTAGGGAAGGTGTGGGTCTAGGGCAGGTGTGGGTCAAGGGCAGGCGTGGGTCTAGAGTAGGTGTGGGTTCAGGACAGGTGTGGGTCTAGGTAAGGTGTGGGTCTAGGGCAGATGTGGGTCTAGGGCAGGTGTGGGTGGGCAGGTCTAGGCAGGTGTGGGTCTAGGGCAGGTGTGGGGTCTAAAAGTTGTGGGGTGTAAGGAAGGTGTGGGTCTAGGGCAGGTGTGGGTCTAGGGCAGGTGTGGGTCTAGGGCAGGTGTGGGTCTAGGGAAGGTGTGGGTCTAGGGCAGGTGTGGGTCTAGGACAGGTGTGGGTCTAGGTAAGGTGTGGGTCTAGGGCAGGTGTGGGTCTAGGGCAGGTGTGGGGTGGGGCAGGTGTGGGTCTGTGGGTCTGGGCAGGTGTGGGCAGGTCTAGGAAGGTGTGGGTCTAGGGAAGGTGTGGGTCAGGGCAGGTGTGGGTCTAGGACAGGTGTGGGTCTAGGACAGGTATGGGTCTGGGTAAGGTGTGGGTCTAGGGCAGGTGTGGGGTCTAGGGCAGGTGTGGGTCTAGGGCAGGTGTGGGTCTAGGGCAGGTGTGGGGTCTAGGCAGGTGTGGGTCTAGGACAGGTGTGGGTCTAGGGCAGGTGTGGGTCTAGGGCAGGTGTGGGTCTAGGGCATGGGGGTCAGGTAAGGTGTGGGTCTAGGGCAAGTGTGCAGGTGTGGGTCTAGGTAAGGTGTGGGTCTAGGCAGGGGTCTAGGGCAGGTGTGGGTCTAGGGCAGGTGTGGGTCTAGGGAAGGTGTGGGTCTAGGGAAGGTGTGGGTCTAGGGGTGGGGTCTAGGGCAGGTGTGGGTCTAGGGCTTGGGCAGGTGTGGGTCTAGGGCAGGTGTGTGGGTCTAGGGCAGGTGTGGGTCTTGGGCAGGTGTGGGTCTAGGGCAGGTGTGGGTCTAGGGCAGGTGTGGGTCTAGGGGCAGGTGTGGGTCTTGGGCAGGTGTGGGTCTAGGGCAGATGCGGGTCTAGGGGCAGGTGTGGGTCTATGACAAGTGTGTGGGTCTAGGGCAGGTGTGGGTCTAGGGTGTGGTCTAGGACAGGTGTGGGTCTAGGGCAGGTGTGGGTCTGGGGCAGGTGTGGGTCTAGAGCAGGTGTGGGTCTGGGCAGGTGTGGTCTAGGGCAGGTGTGGGTCTGTGGGTCTATGGTGTGGGTCTAGGGCAGGTGTGGCAGGTGTGGGTCTATGACAAGTGTGGGTGGGTCAGGGGCAGGTGTGTGGGTCTAGGGCAGGTGTGGGTCTATGACAAGTGTGGGTCTAGGGCAGGTGTGGGTCTAGGGCAGATGTGGGTCTATGACAAGTGTGGGTCTAGGGCAGGTGTGGGTCTAGGGCAGATGTGGGTCTATGACAAGTGTGGGTCTAGGGCAGGTTTGGGTCTTGGGCAGGTGTGGGTCTAGGGCAGGTGTGGGTGTGCAGGGCAGGGCAGGGTGTGGGTCTAAGGTGAGGGGCAGGTGTGGGTCAAGGGCAGGTGTGGGTCTAGGGCAGGTGTGGGTCTATGACAGGGCTAGGGTCTGTGGGTCTGACAAGTGTGGGTCTAGGGCAGGTGTGGGTCTAGATGGCAGGTGTGGGTCTAGGGCTGGGGTGTGGGTCTATGACAAGTGTGGGTCTAGGGAGGTGTGGGTCTAGGGCAGGTGTGTCACTATGACAGCCCAGGGCAGGTGTGTCTAGGGTCTAGGGCAGATGTGGGTCTATGACAAGTGTGGGTCTAGGGCAGGTGGGTCTAGGGCAGGCAGGTGTGGGGTCTATGACAAGTGTGGGGTCTAGGGCAGGTGGGGTCTAGGGCAGATGTGGGTCTATGACATGTGGGTCTAGGGCAGGTGTGGGTCTAGGGCAGATGTGGGTCTATGACAAGTGTGGGTCTAGGGCAGGTGTGGGTCCAGGGGCAGGTGTGGGTCTAGGGCAGATGTGGGTCTATGACAAGTGTGGGTCAAGGGCAGGTGTGGGTCTAGGGCAGATGTGGGTCTAATGACAAGTGTGGGTCTAGGGCAGGTGTGGGTCTTGGGCAGATGTGGGTGTAGGGCAGGTGTGGCTCTGGGGCAGGTGTGGGTCTAGGGCAGGTGTGGGTCTATGACAAGTGTGGGGTCTAGGGCAGGTGGGTCTAGGGCAGATGTGGGTCTATGACAAGTGTGGGTCTAGGGCAGGTGGGGTGTGTGGGTCTGGGCAGGTGTGGGTCTAGGGCAGGTGTGGGTCTATGACAAGTGTGGGGTCTAGGGCAGGTGTGGGTCATGACAAGTGTGGGTCCGCAGGTGTGGGTGGGCAGGTGGGGTCTAGGGCAGGTGTGGGTCATGACAAGTGTGGGGTCTAGGCAGTGTGGGTCTAGGGCAGGTGGGTCCGGGCAGGGTCTAGGGCAGGTGTGTGGGTCTATGACAAGTGTGGGTCTAGGGCAGGTGTGGGTTCAGGAGCAGATGTGGGTCTATGACAAGTGTGTGGGGTCTAGGGCAGGTGGGGGTCTAGGGCAGATGTGGGTCTATGACATGTGGGTCTAGGGCAGGTGTGGGGTCTTGGGCAGTGGGGTCTAGGGCAGGTGTGTGGGTCTAGGCAGATGTGGGTCTATGACAAGTGTGGTCAAGGGCAGGTGTGGGTCTAGGGCAGATGTGGGTCTATGACAAGTGTGGGTCAGGCAGTGGGTCTTGGGCAGATGGGTTCTAGGGCAGGTGTGGCTCTGTGAACTAAAACAAAATAGCCTAATGGTGTATTTCATTAAGTCACACAACATTGGGTGATATCAACGCCGCCCATATACTAATCTCTGTCACTCTAGAATTGGGTGGCGGGGAGGGGTGGCGGGGAGTGTGGCGGGGAGGTGTGGGTGTTGGCGGGTGGGGTGGTGGGGTGTGGGGTGGCGGGTAAACATCAACGCCATCCACATACTTATCTCTGTACCACACAACACGCATGTAATTTTTTAGTGATTATTGTGACCTTGTATATTATTATTATTATTATTATTATTATTATTATTATTATTATTATTATTATTATTATTATTATTATTATTATTATTATTATTATTATTATTTTCCCAACGATTCCCTAGGTAAAGTAATTAAGTGTCTTCTTATTACTACTATTATTTCTTCTTCTTACTATGAGTGTTCACTGTACGAAGCTTTAGGAATCAATGCATTGAGTAACCACCACCATCACGTGTCACAAGAGATGCTGTCCTAGTGTGTGTGTGTGGCAAGCTCTCTCTCAGTGCCCCGAGGTGTTGGCTGGCGGCGGAGTACACTAACTAATAAATATGAGGAAGGTGCACAGCGGTAGAGTCCTGGAGGAATGTTTATCAGGGTGATCTTTGTGGTGGTTTGTTCACAAGTGATGATGGTGAGTGCGGGCGGCGGAGTGTGGCTGGGCAGGTAGACAACACAGGCCTTTATCACCCCTCGACGTCTTGTGCACTTGGCTTGGCCGCCACCGTCAATGATGTATGGATGTCTTACTGCCAGGCGGGAGTGTAGATTCATGTACATAACTGTAAGGTTCATACATATGGGGATCTACAGGTATATGGATACTGTGTAGTTTGAGATGGGTGGCGGTGTGGGTGGGGGGGGGAAGGAGGGTGGAAGATAGGGAGGCTGGCGGTGCCGCGGGATGGAGGGGCTGAGGGGGGGAGGTCAGGTAGGCCGCGGTGCGGGAGGGCGGCTCACTATCTGTCCACTTTACCTGATGCTTCACTGATTACGTCCCGCCCACAGATGGCATCGCCGCCCACGTTACCTTTAAAGGCGGCGTGTATGAACACATGACTTCACCGCTAACTAATTGGAACATGTCGAAAATGCACGCCACTGACCTCGTCCTCGGCAGAGTCCCTAAGTCTAATTTATTCTACCGTCGCAGCTCACACACAACCGTCAAACTTTCCCGCCAGAACACAGTAAATGTTCTGCTTAGTCCTGGAGTCTTGAGGTGGGACAGTGCAACACGATGGTGCCTGACGGGTGCCAGCCGTGCTCAGGGTGGCAGGGTCAGTGAAGCGGAGGTGGGGGCCAGGGGTCCAGCATTAAGTAGCCAGAGAGCCGCCACCCGCTGCACCACCAGTGGCCATCACACTCACGTCAGTAACGTTGGTATTCACGGCCATCACCTCCGTCATTGAGGCCTCAGTCACCAAGTTAATTATTTAGTGGTGCAGCCACACAGTACAAGACGGAGGAACACGTGGGAACAAGGTAGAACATGGCGGCGCGGGCTGTACAGCCTCCAGTAACTCAGCCGCCACAAAGGTAGAGCGCGGCGGCCTGGCGTACCCGGCCATTGAGGAGAATCAGGCACCCGACGGGGACGCCACAAAGCAACAATGGCGTCACAAAATTCTAGCCTCTTGCCCTCCCGCCATCACCCATACTTAAAACTTCCCACAATCCCCCACAAGTCACCCCCCACCTCCACCTTTGTCACACAAACTGAAAATTAATCTTCCAGTCACTCCAGAATTTCCGTCCTCGTCACTAAGGCACCATGGACACCCAGCCTAGCAGCCTACCTCACCACACACACCTGTCATGACACCCAGCCTAGCAGCCTACCTCACCACACACACCTGTCATGACACCCAGCCTGGCAGCCTACCCCACACACACACACACGCACACCTGTCATGACACCCAGCCTGGCAGCCTACCCCACCACACACACACCTGTCATACACCCAGCCTGGCACCCTACCCCCACCACACACAACACCTGTCATGACACCCAGCCTGGCAGCCTACCCCACCACACACACGCACCTGTCATGACACCCAGCCTAGCAGCCTACCCCACACACACACCTGTCATGACACCCAGACTGGCAGCCTACCCCACACACACCTGTCATGACACCCAGCATAGCAGCCTACCACACACACACACACACCTGTCATGACACCCAGCCTGGCAGCCTACCCCACCACACACACACACACCTGTCATGACACCCAGCCTAGCAGCCTTCCCCACCACACACACCTGTCATGACACCCAGCCTGGTAGCCTACCCCACCACACACACACCTGTCATGACACCCAGCCTAGCAGCCTACCCCCACCACGCACACTGTCATGACACCCAGCCTGAGCCCTCCACCACACACACCTGTCATGACACCCAGCCTAGCAGCCTCCCCACCACACACATCTGTCATGACACCCAGCCTAGCAGCCTACCCCACCACACACACACCTGTCATGACACCCAGCCTAGCAGCCTACCCCACCACACACACCTGTCATGACACCCACAGCCTACCCCACCACACACATCTGTCATGACACCCAGCCAGCAGCCCCCCCCACACACACCTGTCATGACACCCAGCCTAGCAGCCTCCCCCACCACACACACACACACCTGTCATGACACCCAGCCTGGCAGCCTGCCCCACCACACACACACACACATCTGTCATGACACCCAGCCTAGCAGCCTACCCCCACCACACACCTGTCATGACACCCTACCACACACCCTGTCATGCACCCTACCCCACCACACACCTGTCATGACACCCAGCCACAGCCTCCCCCACCACACACACCTGTCATGACACCCAGCCTAGCAGCCTCCCCACCACACACACACACACCTGTCATGACACCCAGCCTGGCAGCCTACTCCACCACACACACCTGTCATGACACCCAGCCTAGCAGCCTCCCCCACCACACACACACACCTGTCATGACACCCAGCCTGGCAGCCTACCTCACCACACACACACCTGTCATGACACCCAGCCTGGCAGCCTCCCCACCACACACACACCTGTCATGACACCCCAGCCCAGCAGCCTCCCCCACCACACACACACACCTGTCATGACACCCAGCCTGGCAGCTTACCTCACCACACACACCTGTCATGACACCCAGCCTGGCAGCCTACTCCACCACACACACCTGTCATGACACCCAGCCCAGCAGCCTACCCCACCACACACATCTGTCATGACACCCAGCCTAGCAGCCTCCCCACCACACACACACACCTGTCATGACACCCAGCCTAGCAACCTCCCCCACCACACACACACACCTGTCATGACACCCAGCCTGGCAGCCTACCTCACCACACACACCTGTCAGACACCCAGCCTAGCAGCCTCCCCCACCACACACACCTGTCATGACACCCAGCCTAGCAGCACCCCACCACACACATCTGTCATGACACCCAGTAGCAGCCTCCCCCCACCACACACACCTGTCATGACACCCAGCCTAGCAGCCTCCCCCACCACACACACACACCTGTCATGACACCCAGCCTGGCAGCCTACCACCACACACACCTGTCATGACACCCAGCCTAGCAGCCCCCCCACCACACACACCTGTCATGACACCCAGCCTAGCAGCCTCCCCACCACACTGGTAACATCAGTCCCTAACTCACGGGGCCGTCAGTGTCACATCCCTGGCTCGAGATAACCAAACAACGAAGCCTGGGGGGGGTGAAGGTAAACACGGCACAACGAGAATAAATGAAATGGAATAAATTAAAGAGAAGTGTTACGGTGAAGAAGAAGGCTGATTATGCATGACGAGAGGAGAGACAACAGAGATGAGAGGAACACACACAAAACACACACACACACAAACACACCACAACACACACACACACACTCGCTGAACCTAAGAGAGAAAGATGACTATAAGGAACTTGAGGGAGGTGGCCAAGCATCATTAACAGATAGGTTCTTCTTGCCCTGCCACGGACTGTACACACACACGAGCACCACTACAACCTCACTCCACGCCGCCGCCAGCCTCAAGGAGGATACAAGAGGTCAAGGACGTATGGCTGGTCAACTACACCATAAGCTAAATGTGGGAGGTCAGCCGAGAGGAGAGGGAGGTCACGATAGAGTAAAAGTTGAATTTTTTTTATTGTACACGAACAATCTTGATGTCACACACACACACACACACACACACACACACACACACACACACACACACACACACACACACATTACTCCTCTCTTTTAACCCTGATATAGCCCCCAACAGTTCAGGGGAAGTGATCAGAATGAGGAGAATGGACATTAGACACATTTTAGGCGTCAGAAGAGAGGGGTGAGGGGTGAGGGACGGGGGAGGAGGAGGAGGGAGGAGGGAGAGGTTGAAGGAGGGGAGAGAGGGCGAAGGCGAATGGGTGGGCGAGGTAGGGGACGGTGAGGTCGGGTTAGGTCAGGGCGGATCAGGGTGGGACGGAAATGGAATAGGTAAAGGGACGGGTTACAGCGGGGCGGATCAGGGGACAAGTGAGGGTGGCTAGGGTTTATGGTGGGCAGGGGCCGGGTTAAGGCAGGGCAAAGTTAGGGCGGGGCAGGGTGACAATAGGGCAGGGTGAGGTGAGGTAAAACTAGGGTGGGATTTGGCTAGGGCGGGGTAGGGTGAATTGGGCGGGCGGGGGCACTCCTCCCATCAGTCGCCGTGGTGCATCACCCGCCCCACCGCCCGTCACTTCACCCGCCAAATGCCCCGTTCCCACACGTGTTACCAGTCCACCATGTGACGCCCAGGCAGCCGTCACCACCAACCTCTGTGACGCCCGACCAGTCACCAGGACACCCAGACATCATGCGGGGGAGGAACCTGTCCAGCCTCCCTTAAGCAACTGACCCCCTGATGCCCCCACCCTGCCCCCGCCGCCCCTCTGCTGCGCCCCAAAGAGAGGAATTTAAGAGGTTTCCCAAACACATACACACATACAGAAACATACAGAGACACACACACACACACACACACACACACACACACACATACACACACACACACACACACGGATTAAGTCATGATATAAATAGGTATGTGGTGAGAAAGATTAACTACAAATGAGTTCATCCATTTTGAAATAACTACTTAACCTGGGAACCCTAGTGTGTGTGTGTGTGTGTGTGTGTGTGTGTGTGTGTGTGTGTGTGTGTGTGTGTGTGTGTGTGTGTGTGTGCTTGCGTTCGTATGTGTGTGTGTCGTGTATGTATCCATGTGTGTGTGCTTGTCGTATATGTATGCATGTGTGTGTGTGTGTGTGTGTGTGTGTGTGTGTGTGTGTGTGTGTGTGTGTGTGTGTGCTTGTGTGTGTGGCTTGTAGTGTGCGTTCGTATGTATCCATGTGTGTGTGTGTGTGTGTACCAGCTGTCAACACCATCATCTCTCACTGCTGCACCACACAACTCCCTGCATGAGAGACTTAAATAAACACAAACCCTGTACGTGTGAAACGGTCCACTGATTATACACGACCCGCCCTCACACACACACACACACACACACGAACGCAAGCACGCACACACATGGATACATACACGAACGCACACACACAAGCATACATACACGAACGCAAGCACACACACAGGGATTTCTATATTGACCAATTTCTTATAAACACATTTCACGTTTTCTCTCGGAGACAAATATATACCACCATTATGTAATGTCCGAACGCCAAGGATATCCTGTCCAGTGATACCCCCCCGTGTGTGTGTGTGTGTGTGTGTGTGTGTGTGTGTGTGTGTGAAAGTAGTTTATGTATCCTAGCTAGGTGGGTAGTGTGTGTTTCCAGGGAGCTTATTGTGTTCCAGGAGGGTAGTGTGTGTTCCAAGGAGGGTAGTGTGTGTTCCAGGAGGGTAGTGATGTTCCAGGGAGGGGGAGGAGAGAGGAGGGTGAAGGAGGAGAGGGTGAAGGAGGAGGAGGGTGAAGGGAGGGATGGGTGAAGGGGGTAGTGGTCACTACCTGGCCTACTGGTTGGTGGTGCCAAGTGAAACCTTCGGCAGGAGTGGGCGTGGCCTTCATGACTCACTCTCGTCCTCCTCCTCCTCCTCCTGCTGGGGGTGGGGGGAGGGGGGTGGGGAGGAGGGAGGGAGGAGGAGGGGTAGGAGGAGGGAGGAGGTTGCCTCCTCCTCCTCCTCCCTCCTCCTCCTCCTGCTGCCAAGATGTATATGTACGCTCCTCCTCCTCCTCCTCCCTCCCTCCTTCTTTATTCTTCTTCCTCAGTTACTCATCATCTTCTTCACTGTAAACCCAGTGAACTGGTGCCTCACGTGTCACCAATAAGAGGAGTTACCTACAAGAGGAGTCACCAACAAGAGGGAGTCACCAGCAAGAGGGAGTCACCAGCAAGAGGAGTCACCAGCAAGAGGGAGTCACCAGCAAGAGGGAGTCACCAGCAAAAGGAGTCACCAGCAAGAGGGAGTCACCAACAAGAGGAGTCACCAACAAAAGGGAGTCACCAACAAGAGGGAGTCACCAGCAAGAGGGAGTCACCAACAAAAGGAGTCACCAACAAGAGGAGTCACCAACAAAAGGAGTCACCAGCAAGAGGGAGTCACCAGCAAAGGGAGTCACCAACAAGAGGGAGTCACCAGCAAAGGGAGTCACCAACAAAGGAGTCACCAAAGGAGGGAGTCACCAAAGAGGGAGTCACCAACAAAAGGAGTCACCAAAGGGAGTCACCAACAAAGGGAGTCACCAACAAGAGGGCGTCACCAACAAGAGGGAGTCACCAACAACAAGGGAGTCACCAACAAAAGGGAGTCACCAGCAAAGGGGAGTCACCAACAAGAGGGAGTCACCAGCAAAAGGAGTCACCAACAAAAGGGAGTCACCAACAAAGGGAGTCACCAGCAAGAGGGTCACCAACAAGAGGAGTCACCAGCAAAGGGAGTCACCAGCAAGAGGGAGTCACCAACAAGAGGAGTCAACAGGGTCACCAGAGGGTCACCAGCAAGAGGAGTCACCAACAAAGGAGTCACCAACAAGAGGGAGTCACCAACAAAGGAGTCACCAGCAAGAGGGAGTCACCAGCAAAAGGAGTCACCAACAAGAGAGTCACCAGCAAAAGGAGTCACCAACAAAAGGGAGTCACCAGCAAGAGGGAGTCACCAACAAGAGGAGTCACCAGCAAGAGGGAGTCACCAAAAGGAGTCACCAACAAAAGGGAGTCACCAACAAGAGGAGTCACCAGCAAGAGGGAGTCACCAACGAGCACAACAAGAGGGAGTCACCAACAAAAGGGAGTCACCAGCAAGAGGGAAGTCACCAGCAAGAGGGGAGTCACCAGCAGAGGAGTCACCAACAAAAGGAGTCACCAGCAGAGGAGTCACCAACAAAAGGAGTCACCAAAAGGGAGTCACCAGCAAGAGGGAGTCACCAACAGAGGGAGTCACCAGCAGAGGGAGTCACCAGCAAGGAGTCACCAGCAAGAGGAGTCACCAACAAAAAGGGAGTCACCAACAAAAGGGAGTCACCAACAAGAGGAGTCACCGCAAGAGGGAGTCACCAACAAAAGGAGTCACCAGCAAGAGGGAGTCACCAACAAGAGGAGTCACCAAAGGGCACCACAAAGGGAGTCACAACAGGGGAGTCACCAACAAAGAGGGGAGTCACCAGCAAAAGGAGTCACCAACAAAAGGGAGTCACCAAGAGGAGTCAACAAGAGGGAGTCACCAGCAAGGAGTCACCAGCAAGAGGGAGTCACCAGCAAGAGGAGTCACCAGCAAGAGGGAGTCACCAACAAAAGGGGGAGTCACCAGCAAGAGGGAGTCACCACAAGAGGGAGTCACCAGCAAAGGAGTCACCAACAAAAGGAGTCACCAGCAAGAGGGAGTCACCAACAAGAGGGAGTCACCAGCAAAAGGGGTCACCAGCAAGAGGGAGTCACCAGCAAGAGGGAGTCACCAGCAAGAGGGAGTCACCAACAGGAGAGTCACCAGCAAGAGGAGTCACCAACAAAAGGGAGTCACCAGCGAGGGAGTCACCAACAAAAGGGGAGTCACCAGCAAGAGGGAGTCACCAACAAGAGGGTGTCACCAGCAAAAAGGGAGTCACCAGCAAGAGAGGGAGTCACCAGCAAGAGGGAGTCACCAGCAAGAGGAGTCACCAACAAAGAGGGAGGAGTCACCAACAAAGGGAGCACCAACAAAAGGAGTCACCAGCAAGAGGAGTCACCAACAAGAGGGAGTCACCAGCAAGAGGGAGTCACCAGCAAAGGGAGTCATACCAGCAAGAGGGAGTCACCAACAAAAGGGGAGTCACCAACAAAGGAGTCACCAACAAGAGGAGTCACCAGCAAGAGGGAGTCACCAACAAAGGGAGTCACCAGCAAGAGAGTCACCAACAAGAGGGAGTCACCAACAAGAGGAGTCACCAGCAAAAGGGAGCACCAGCAAGAGGGAGTCACCAACAAAAGGGAGTCACCAACAAGAGGGAGTCACCAACAAAAGGAGTCACCAGCAAGAGGAGTCACCAGCAAAAGGAGTCACCACAAAGAGGGAGTCACCAACAAGAGGGAAGTCACGAGGGAGTCACCAGCAAGAGGGAGTCACCAACAAAAGGGAGTCACCAGCAGAGGAGTCACCAGCAAGAGGAGTCACCAGCAAAAGGAGTCACAACAGAGGGAGTCACCAACAAGAGGGAGTCACCAACAAAAGGAGTCACCAGCAAGAGGAGTCACCAGCAAGAGGGAGTCACCAGCAAGCAAGAGGGAGTCACCAACAAGAGGGAGTCACCAACAAGAGGAGTCACCAACAAGAGGGAGTCACCAGCAAGAGGGAGTCACCAGCAAGAGGGAGTCACCAGCAAGAGGAGTCACCAACAAGAGGAGTCACCAACAAAAGGGAGTCACCAGCAAGAGGAGTCACCAACAAGAGGAATCACCAGCAAGAGGGAGTCACCAACAAGAGGGAGTCACCAACAAAAGGAGTCACCAGCAAGAGGAGTCACCAACAAAAGGAGTCACCAGCAAAGGGAGTCACCAGCAGAGGAGTCACCAGCAAGAGGAGTCACCAACAAGAGGGAGTCACCAACAAGAGGGGAGTCACCAACAAGAGGGAGTCACCAGCAAGAGGGAGTCACCAGCAAGAGGGAGTCACCAGCAAGAGGGAGTCACCAGCAAGAGGGAGTCACCAACAAGAGGGGAGTCACCAACAAGAGGGAGTCACCAGCAAGAGGGAGTCACCACAAGAGGGAGTCACCAGCAAGAGGGAGTCACCAGCAAGAGGGAGTCACCAGCAAGAGGGAGTCACCAACAAGAGGGAGTCACCAGCAAGAGGGAGTCACCAACAAGAGGGAGTCACCAGCAAAAGGGAGTCACCAACAAGAGGGAGTCACCAGCAAGAGGAGTCACCATCAAAAGGAGTCACCAGCAAGAGGGAGTCACCAGAAAGGGAGTCACCAGCAAGAGGGAGTCACCAACAAGAGGAGTCACCAGCAAGAGGAGTCACCAACAAGAGGGAGTCATCAACAAGAGGGAGTCACCAACAAGGAGGGAGTCACCAGCAAAGGGAGTCACCAACAAGAGGGAGTCACCAGCAAGAGAGTCACCAACAGGTAAATAACATCAGAGGAACATAACACGGACATTCACCAAGAGGAAGAAAGAGGAAGAGGGTGGGGTGCATGGTGAGGGGAGAGAGAGAGGGGGGGTGGGTCTGGGGAGCAGGGAGGTGTGTGGGGTAGGGGTGCTGGTGAGGGAGGTGTGTGGGGAGGGGTGCTGGTGAGGGAGGTGTGTGTGTGTTAAGGGTGCTGTGAGGGAGGTGTGTGTTGGGGTGCTGGAAGGAGATGTGTGTGTGTTAAGGGGTGTTGGTGAAGGAGATGTGTGTGTTAAGGGGTGTTGGTGAGGGGAGGTGTGTGTGTTAAGGGGTGTTGGTGAGGGAGGTGTGTGTTAAGGGGTGTTGGTGAGGGAGGTGTGTGTGTGTTAAGGGGTGCTGGTGAGGGAGGTGTGTGTGTGTGTTAAGGGGTGCTGGTGAGGGAGGTGTGTGTGTTAGGGTGTTGGTGAAGAGGTGTGTTAAGGGGTGTTGGTGAGGAGGTGTGTGTGTGTTAAGGGGTGTTGGAGGGAGGTGTGTGTGTTAAGGGGTGAGGAGGAGGTGTGTGTGTGTTAAGGGGTGCTGGTGAGGGAGGTGTGTGTGTGTTAAGGGTGCTGGTGAGGGAGGTGTGTGTGTGTTAAGGGGGGGGGAGGTGTGTGTTAAGGGGTGCTGGTGGAGGGGTGTGTGTTAAGGGGTGCTGGTGAGGAGGTGTGTGTGTTGAGGGGTGGTGGTGAGGGGAGGTGTGTGTGTTAAGGGGTGCTGGTGAGGGAGGTGTGTGTGTTAAGGTGCTGGTGAGGGAGGTGTGTGTTAAGGGTGCTGGTGAGGGAGGTGTGTGTGTTAAGGGTGCTGGGAGGGAGGTGTGTGTGTGTTAAGGGGCAGAGGTGTGTGTGTTAAGGGTTGCTGAGGGAGGTGTGTGTGTGGGTGCTGGTGAGGGAGGTGTGTGTGTTAGGGGTGCTGGTGAGGGAGGTGTGTGGGCGGCGCTCCTGACGTGAACAGAGACAAGACGCCGACATGGCAGAGGGCAGAAGTATTCCCGAGGTGAAGAGTGATCTGGGTGAAGCAACTATGTCTGCCTCCACCACCACACCGGAAGACCCATCGAAACCACACACACACACACACACACACACACACACACACACACACACACACACACACTGCTGGTGGTCCCCTCGTTAGGTCTATATCTCAGCCCTACACTTACCCTTACTGCCCCTTCACGTGCTCTCAGTGGCATAACCCATCTCTACCTCACCTGCCCTAATACTTCACCTGTGTGTCTCTCTCTCTTCCTCACCTGCCCTAACACTTCACCTGGGAGTTGTTGCTTCCCTCCTTCCTCTCTCCCTGCATCCTACCCTCTCTCCTACCTTCTTACCTCCCTCCCTCTATCCTTTTTACCTCCCTCCCTCTATCCTTTTTACCTCCCTCCCTCTATCCTTTTTACCTCCCTCCCTCTATCCTTTTTACCTCCCTCCCTCCCTTCCATCTTCCTTCTCTCCATCCTTTTGACTTCCCTCCCTCCCATCCTCCTTTCCTCTATCCTTTTTACCTCCCTCCCTCCCATCCTCCTTCCCTCCATCCTTTTTACCTCCCTCCCTCCTTCACCTGCCTGGCCTCCTCACCAGCTGGGCCAGGTGGGTGGGGTCCCGACTTACAAAAACCTGCTGATGACCAACACCACCTCCAGCTGGTCACGCCTAATATACCCTGGTGCCTGGCCTTATACTGCTGTCCTTGTTTTGTCTTTGTTATACTCTTGTCCTTGTTAAGTGTCCTTGTTATTGTGTTATTCTTATTTTGTCTTTGTTTTACTGCGGTCCTTGTTGTTTGTCTTTGTTCTACTGTTGTCCTTGTCATAGTGCCCCTGTTAATGTGTTGTTCTCGTTGTTTTGTCTTTGTTCTACTGTTGTCCTTGTCATAGTGCCCCTGTTAATGTGTTGTTCTCGTTGTTTTGTTCTTGTTATACTGTTGTCCTTGTCATAGTGTCCCTGTTATTGTGTTGTTCTCGTTGTTTTGTTCTTGTTATACTGTTGTCCTTGTCATAGTGCCCCTGTTAATGTGTTGTTCTCGTTGTTTTGTCTTTGTTATACTGTTGTCCTTGTCATAGTGCCCCTGTTAATGTTTTGTTCTCGTTGTTTTGTCGTTGTTATACTGTTGTCCTTGTCATAGTGCCCCTGTTAATGTGTTGTTCTCGTTGTTTTTGTCCTACTGTTGTCCTGTCATAGTGCCCCTGTTATGTGTTGTTCTCGTTGTTTTGTTCTTGTTATACTGTTGTCCTTGTCATATGCCCTGTTAATGTGTGTTGTCCTTTTGTTCTACTGTTGTCCTTGTCATAGTGCCCTGTTAATGTGTTGTCTTCGTTGTTTTGTTCTTTGTTATACTGTTGTCCTTGTCATAGTGCCCTTAATGTGTGTCGTTGTTTTGTTCTATAGTGCGTGCCCTGTTATTGTGTTGTGTTGTCATATTGTTTTGTGTTCTTTGTTATACTGTTGTCCTTGTCATAGTGCCCTTGTTGTTTCTCGTTGTTTTGTCTTTGTTATACTGTTATTGTGTTGTCCGTTTTTTGTCTTTGTTATACTGTTGTCCTTGTCATAGTGCCCCTGTTAATGTGTTGTTCTCGTTGTTTTGTCTTTGTTCTACTGTTGTCCTTGTCATAGTGCCCCTGTTAATGTGTTGTTCTTGTTGTTTTGTTCTTGTTCTACTGTTGTCCTTGTCATAGTGCCCCTGTTAATGTGTTGTTCTCGTTGTTTTGTTTTTGTTCTACTGTTGTCCTTGTCATAGTGCCCCTGTTAATGTGTTGTTCTCGTTGTTTTGTCTTTGTTCTACTGTTGTCCTTGTCATAGTGCCCCTGTTAATGTGTTGTTCTCGTTGTTTTGTCTTTGTTCACTTGTTGTTCTTGGTCATAGTGCCCCTGTTAATGTGTGTTGTTCTCTGCTGTTTTGTTCTTTTTGCTATACTGTTGTCCTTGTCATAGTGCCCCCTTGTTGTTGCAAGTTGTTCTCGTTGTTTTAGTCTCGTTATACTGTTGTCCCTTGTCATAGTGCCCCTGTTAATGTGTTGTTCTTGTTGTTTTGTCTTTGTTATACTGTTGTCCTTGTCATAGTGCCCCTGTTAATGTGTTGTTCTCGTTGTTTTGTCTTTGTTATACTGTTGTCCTTGTCATAGTGCCCCTGTTATTGTGTTGTTCTCGTTGTTTTGTCTTTGTTATACTGTTGTCCTTGTCATAGTGCCCCTGTTAATGTGTTGTTCTCGTTGTTGTGTCTTTGTTATACTGTTGTCCTTGTCATAGTGCCCCTGTTAATGTGTTGTTCTCGTTGTTTTGTTCTTGTTCTACTGTTGTCCTTGTCATAGTGCCCCTGTTAATGTGTTGTTCTCGTTGTTTTTTGTTCTTTTTTGTTATACTGTTGTCCTTGTCATAGTGCCCTGTTAATGTGTTGTTCTCGTTGTTTTGTCTTTGTTCTACTGTTGTCCTTGTCATAGTGCCCCTGTTAATGTGTTGTTCTCGTTGTTTTGTCTTTGTTCTACTGTTGTCCTTGTCATAGTGCCCCTGTTAATGTGTTGTACTCGTTGTTTTGTTCTTGTTATACTGTTGTCCTTGTCATAGTGCCCCTGTTAATGTGTTGTTCTTGTTGTTTTGTCTTTGTTATACTGTTGTCCTTGTCATAGTGCCCCTGTTAATGTGTTGTTCTCGTTGTTTTGTCTTTGTTATACTGTTGTCCTTGTCATAGTGCCCCTGTTATTGTGTTGTTCTCGTTGTTTTGTCTTTGTTATACTGTTGTCCTTGTCATAGTGCCCCTGTTAATGTGTTGTTCTCGTTGTTGTGTCTTTGTTATACTGTTGTCCATGTCATAGTGCCTGTTAATGTATTTGTTTCTCGTTGTTTTGTCTTTGTTATACTGTTGTCCTTGTCATAGTACCCTATTAATGTTTTGTTCTCGTTGTTTTGTCGTTGTTATACTGTTGTACTTGTCATAGTACCCCTAAGCCAATATGTTGTTCTCATTGTTTTGTTCTTGTTTTACTGTTGTCCTTGTCGCAATTACCTGTTAATATGTTGTTCTCGTTGTTTGTCTTTTGTTATACTGTTGTCCGCTTGTCATAGTGCCCTGTTGTGTATTTGTTCTCGTTGACTTTGTTCTTGTTATACTGTTGTCCTTGTCATAGTGCCCCTGTTAATGTGTTGTTCTCGTTGTTTTGTCTTTGTTATACTGTTGTCCTTGTCGCAATGACCTGTTGTTGTTTCTCGTTGTTTCTTTGTTCTACTGTTGTCCTTGTCATAGTGCCCTGTTATTGTGTTGTTCTCGTTGTTTTTGTCTTTGTTCTGTTGTCCTTGTCCTTGCATGCCCTGTTAATGTATTTGTTCTTGTTGTTTTGTCTTTGTTATACTGTTGTCCTTGTCATAGTGACCCTGTTATTGTGTTGTTCTCGTTGTTTTGTCTTTGTTCTACTGTTGTCCTTGTCACTTGTTGCCTCGTAATGTATTTGTTCTCGTTTGTTTTGTGCTTTGTTCTACTGTTGTCCTTGTCGCAAGTGCCCTGTTAATGTGTTGTTCTCGTTTGTTTTGTCTTTGTTTCTACTGTTGTCCTTGTCCTTAGTGCCCCTGTTAATGTGTTGTTCTCGTTGTTTTGTCTTTGTTCTATTTGTCCTTGTCACAGGTACCCCTGTTAATATGTTGTTCTCGTTGTTTTGTCTTTGTTCTACTGTTGTCCTTGTCATAGTGCCCTGTTAATATGTTCTGTTAATGTGTTGTTCCTGTTGTTTTGTCTTTTTGTTCTTACCGTTGTCCTTGTCATAGTTCGTTAATGCAAGTTGTCTTCTCTGTTGTTTTGTTCTTGTTATACTGTTGTCCTTGTCATAGTGTCCCCTGTTATTGTGTTGTTCTTGTTTGTTTTGTCTTTTGTTATACTGTTGTCCCTTGTCATATGCCCTGTTAATGTAAGTTGTCTCGTTGTTTTGTCTTTTGTTATACTGTTGTCCTTGTCATAGTGCCCCTGTTAATGTTTTTGTTCTTGTTGTTTTGTTCTCG